CAGCTGACGCAAACCAGCCCCAGAGCCTGTGATAACCATGGTGCTTTATGGCCAGGAGGATCTGCTGCAGGGATGTCAGATGTCCTGTGCCCTCAAAGACACCCTGGGAAGGTGCCAGGCAAGGCAGCCCCAAAGAGCTTAGGAGATGGGGAGGGTACCCCACACCCTGCGGGCAGCCCATGCCTGCACCCCGGCGTGGTGGGAGGGAGAGCTGGGAGCAGACATTATCCCTGTGCTGGAGGAATGCTCTGCAGTTATGTACCCTTTCACCAAAATAATCCAGGCACTCGGGTACCGGCCAAACCACAGGAGAATTGGAGCCAAGAAAGCCTCTCGCAGTAGTAGGGAAATAGCAAACCTTTAACTGTTTTTCCAGATCAGCACAATTATAGCTTTAAATCCACAGAGCAGATTTTTCTCTCTTCTCCCTCCTTCTTTTTGCCTTTGGCTAGGCTCAGACTGGAAACGTCATGTCTGTGCCTGGAGGAGCCGTGGGGATGGGGCTCAGGAGGATGCCCCATTCCAGGGATCCTCGGAATGAGGTTAGCCTTGCAAGGATGGGTTCTTGCTGAGGGCAGTGGGGAGCACCTAAAGAGCATCCAGCATCCCAAACACTGGACCTGCAGTCCTTGAAGCCCATCGGCTGCCAGCATTGCAAGGACCAGATCCCCAGCCCTGTCGCCTCGCCAGCGGCATCAGCGAAGTCCCGGCCACAGCCAGCTCGGGAATGCTGTGCTTATTAGTTTTACAGCTTCTGAAGGCTAATGGATGTTTATTCCCAGGGTTTTCCTTCCACAGCCAGTCCGCCTCAAGCTTCGTTTTTCACATAGCTGGAAGCTTTTCATCCGCAGAGAGAAGTCAGCACAGGGAAGAAGTCCCAGCACTCGCAGCATGGAGCATCAGGGCTGCTGCTGTCTGCTCCATGGAGGCACAACCTGCATCCCTGGCCCCTTTCCCTCTCCTGCTTCTGTACTGGGGCGTCTAGTGGCAATGGAAAGCTGAGGGCAGTGGTTGGTGTGTCCCCCTGTGCACATGTGGGAGGAGGGAATGGGTCCTTTTGTCCTTCCTTAGGGAGTGACACAGCTCCTGCTCATGGGATGATGGGGAGCAATTAAAAAAAAGCAATTGGGAAAAGGAGATGAAAGATGGAAGGAACATTTTTTTAACCTTTTTTCCCCTGATTCTGGACCTCTAACAACATTTTCTTCATGTGATTACAGTTTGTTGACCACAAATACCCATGAGCAGCAAGAGAAGAGCACACATAGGGATGGAGCTTCCACATTTGAAGGACACATGTCCCATGTGCGTTTGGGGAAACTCCATGCATGTTTGAACACACTTATTTTGCCCAAATACACCCATCCACAGCAACAAACCTGCCTGATGTCCAGGCACACCTGAAATACCCCTAAAATGACATGAACCAAAGCACAACTTAGGGCAGAAACTGCTCGCCACCTCAGGTCAACACCAGCATCATCTCTGCCCTTACAGTAACTCACTTTCCTTCAAACAAAACTCCTGCCAGGCCACTTTGCCCAAGCACAGGGAGCTCCTATTTTCCCCATGGTTTCACCCACGATGCTTACCAAGGATGCTCAGACCCCATAACACCGGGTACCACTTGCCCTGCCTGCACCAGCTGTGCCTCAGGGCAGGGCAGCCACTGCCCGACTGCTGCTGTATGGAACTACTCTTCACATTAGGGTGAATATCAGTAGCCTGTTGTCATTCTTTCCATTCACATACTTGGAGAAGGCACTTGGGTTGCACCTTCAGCTTAACGAAAGAGGGGAGAACGTGTTGAGAGAGAAGTCTGAAAGCCACTTGCTGCTCTGGAAGATGGTGAGCAGAGAAAAGCCACCCCATGAACTGACGAGCTTTTTGAGCAGTGTGTTCCAACCTTCTTTTCCCCTGGAGTTTAATAACCTGAATTTTTTCCTCCCAGATTTTCCACTATCAGGGTTGCACTTGCAGCCCCCACGTGCAAATGACCTGGCTCCTTCATCAACAGGTTAGAAAAAGGGAAATAGTCACAACTAAAAATATACCTGGAGAATATGATATATAAGTTTGTATACACTCAAATATGTCTTTACACACACACATACATATGTGTGTGTATATATGTGTGTGTTTGTGTATAAGATGCTTTGAAACCCTTCTGAAGGCATCCACACTAGCAAAAAGCAGCATGAAAAGACAGACTGACGGATAGGTGCCAAAGTCCTCAGATTCCACATATGGTATTTGGCAGCCGGGTCTCTGCACGTTGTTATAACCATCACTCCTGTATGAACCCCTTCTGAGATAACCATTTAGTTCCTCTGAGCTCTTCTGCATTTCAATAGGTTTTGTTGAGCTCCTCTGGGATGATATTGAACGATGCTCGTCTGGCTTCTACCAGCAACTGGGGTTTCATCTTTGCATCTCCATTTCTCCTGCCAGCTCCTGGGCTTGGCCAGGGCTCAGCAGAACTGTTATGCTGCTCTCTCTGTACTCCCTTGGTTTATACTATAGATATTTTGTTTGTTCAGTCATTTATCCTTTAACCAGAGTGAGTCATGGTGGCTTCATTTTTAACTGTGTACACATATTTAATAGACATTTTGTATGGCATAATTGCATATTCAAAAAGATGCTGTACTTATGTATAGAAACGCACTCATTCTGTGCACAGAACATCCCTTCCTTCATGCAGAGGAACCAACAGAAGAGAAAACTACAGCTGGGTCCTGCCTGGTGCTGGCAGGAGGGATGTGAAAGGACCAAAATGAGCCAGAGCTGGTCTTTGCTCCAGTGTGCAGCTGGGAAAGGGGGAGAAACTCCTCCCCTTGCTGGTCCCCAGGGAAGTCAGTGCTCGACCAGCCCATCAGTGATGGTGGCATGAGGGGAAAAAAAGGCATAAGAGCCCCCAAAGAGCACAAGAATTGCAGTTCCTCTGCCAGGGTGCAGCCAGGGTCATGCCTAAAATAAATAGCACTTACAGCTAAAATTGGGCTGAACATGGTAAAAAATTGGTGTTTTCCACAAATCTCCATAGGGCCTTTCCCTCAGAGAGCTCACTTTGGGCAGAAATCTCTGCAGAACATCAAAACCAGCCCATGCAGGCACTGAACACCCAATGGCTCAGCTACTGGTGCCATCCCCACCTGAGAAACCAAATCCTGAGGGGCATGAGGATCCCTCATAAATGCCTTGCCCAGGATCTCTGCAAGATGGGCTGAGGGATGGGAAAAGCTAGGCTGCATCTGTGCCCTGCATTCCCTGCTCAGGGGTGGGTGAGGATGGTCCTTCCTTGAAAGCAAGGGGATACTTTTGGCATGTTTAAGATGGAATGAGATATGGAAAAGGGATAGTCTCCAGAGAGGCAGGGAAGGATGTGATGGCAAAGACACTTGGTTCCTGCTCCTTATCTGCTTTGGAGGACCACCATCTCTGAACAGCCTTCCCGGGCTTAGCCCTGACTGGCACAGACTCATAGAGAAAGCCCTGCAATTGCTGCATGCAAACCTGTTTGTGGACCATAGGGGTGTCCCCCTGCAAAGATGCTCTGGGACCTGGCTTCTGGAGAGAGTCATCCTGGCCATAAGCAACCCTATGCTCGGTCTTGAGCTGAAGCAGTGGAAAAACTCACCACCACCACCACGCAGATGTGAGTCCCTGAACTTTAGAGAGGGTACATTGCTAAAATACCTGTGCAGGACCCATCTTCTGCAATGGGGCAGAGGCAGCTTCGTGGGGTGCACCCCAGGCAGCCTCCTCCCTTCCCAGCCCATCCCAGAGCGCATGCTCCCGCTGGGAAGCTGAGCCTTATCCCACCATTCATAGCTTTGTGAACATTAACTCAGGTCTCTGCTGGAAGGAAACAGTGACCCAGAGAGTGGAAACATCACCATGGGTTTAATTGCAAACAGCTCCCCAGATGCAGTGGGGGCACTGGAGCTCGGACAGCCCCCACAGCATCAGCATCATCCTATTAACTGCATGCGCGGGACCGTTCGGGAAAAGCACACAATCCTTGTGGGAAGCTGGGGCTTGGAGCCAGTGGAAAGGCTCACCACAGTGTGCCTGGGCTGCTGGCCCCAGCCTTCCATCAGGGAAGCAGAGAGCAGGCAGGTTTGGGGCCATGCTGATGGCAGCTGGGGAGACCAAGGTTAAACCAAATCACCCTGCTCCTCTTTGCAGTGAAATAGCTCAACTTGAGGACACAAGACAGGGTCCAGCCCCATGCCCCCCCATCAGCAAAGGTCAGAGGTTTGAGTTGCAGGGGTATCCATCTGCACTAATCACGTTTGCTGTCATCCACCCATAGGGCAGATCCTTCAGCTCCAGTGTCACCGAGTTGTAGGGAATTTGGTGGGCTTTTGAGTTGCCCTCGTCACTGCAGCATCCAGATGTGCTCGTGGAGAGCACTGAGGGTCTCTGCCAACATCTGTGCAGGATGCCCCAGTGGGGACCAGCCCTGGCAAGCAGCAAAACCTGCCACGAAACCCAAAACCTGCACAAAGCCCATCCAAGCCCCATCCTGTACTCCTGATGGACACAGGCAGGTCTGAGCACTTCTGCAGACCACAGCTCCTTGGTGGAAACTGTATTAAAGGGGATGGCCTCAACCCAAAACCCAGATGGGTTTCCAGCAAGCACTGGAGGCCAAGGGGCTGCGGGAGCCATGGACCTGCCTGGAGCAAAGCCCCATGCACAGCACCTGCCGTTAAGAGGCAGGAGCCAAAGCACAGCACCCTCCATTCACACACATCATCAGATACAAACTATGCTGTCATTCCCCATATAAAGCTCCTCTTTTGAAAAGGAAAAGTGTTTCTATTCTCTGCATTGCCCAAGCTGGCTTGGCACCAGCAGCACTAAGAGCAAGCCTCAGTTTCCCTCTGAGCAGCAGCACTGGTGATTAGACGGAGCAGAAGGAGAAATCCGGTGTTTTGGGCAGGTTACTTTAGATCCCCCCCTCTCCAGAGCCTGGCGCAAAGTTCACTCACCATTTCTTCCCCCCGATGTCATGCTGCTGCACTGTGTAGCCAAAATACGCTTCCTTGGAGCCAGCTATGATTTTGGGTCTCTTGGTGTCAATGTTGAAGGTGTCACTGAACCCTGGTGAGAGAAAAGAAGGATCCTGTCAGTCAAAGTGCCGAGATGGGAAGAGAAAACACCTCTTCACTATGGTCAGAGACTGAACAGGTCACCCCAAGAGGGTGGCAGTGTCCACGCATGGAGATATTCAAACCCCAACTGGACAAAGCCCTGGACAACCTGCTTTTGAGCAGGGCTTGGACTGGGTGATCTCCAGAGGTGCCTCCAACCCCAACCATCCTGGGAATACTGTTCCCCAAAACTGTATAATAAACCTGAGGAGCATCCTACATGAAACAGGGGTGGTTTTATCCCATCACAGCACCCCCACGTCATGACATCCCCACAGCCAGCCATGAGGGAAAGGAGGCTGCAAGATCCTCACCTGCAGACACCCATCACTCCTCTCTCCAACACTGAGCCTCCAAGGAGCAGCTACCCCAAAGCTGCAGCTTTAAGCAGGTTCAATTATAGGGTTTATAGACCTCAGCTGTGCAAGCCCTGGAGGTAACCCCCTTCCCCAGCCCACCTGCAAAGGGCCTTCATCCCATCAGGCACCATTGTGCTCCTCGGGGTGCCCACCACTGCTACCAGAGCAGAAAGTGTGTTTCTGGTTTTACCCAATCATGATAAAGGGTGATAAAATCAATAACGGAAAAAAGGTGTTTTTCCTCTAGGCTGCTGTAAAAGTGAATGAGGTGAAGCCAGGGATGCCAGGACAGGCATGGGGAGGGGAGAGCACCCTCCTCCCCTCTGACAACTCCAGGAGCAACTTGCTTGCCAGGCAGCAAATCCTGGGGGATTGGTCTGGCATCTCCTCCCTTTGCCAGCAGCTGAACCCAGGGCCAGAGTGCTTTAGGGTTGCGGGAGATGTCCCTTTGCCTATCCATGGGTTCAGGAGCTGCCTGAATCATGCCCACAGCCTCCACGGGTGCATTCAACAGAGAAATTGGTGAGGGCGAAGACTACCCCTGGGCAGCCAGAAGAGCACAGCTTGTGCCAAGAAGCTCCAGCTCTGCATTGCCTCTATTCTTGGTGGATGCAAGATGCTGCAGCCCAGAGAAGCTGTGGCTGCCCCATCCCTGGCAGTGTTCAAGGCCAGGTTGGACACAGGGGCTTGGAGCAACCTGCTCTAGTGGAAGGTGTCCCTGCCCGGGGCAGGGGTTGGAAGTGGAGGAGCTTTAAGCTCCCTTCCAACACAAACCATTCCATGATTCTATGAGATCCTACGGTCCACCTCCCATAGTCCACAGGTATCAGCCCATGATACCCCAGTGCACATCTTTATCCAAGACACATACACTTTGGCTCAGGCCAGCAGCCCACCCAAACCCTCCATGGGTGCAAATGCTTCACAACTTCCACAAGGACATGTTGGGATTTTTATCTTAGTAATGTTATGTCCTCCCTGGCTTTATTAAACATAGAGGGACATGGTCCAGGAGGACTGTGTGGGAGATGGTGCTGCAGGGATGGATACAGATAGCCAGGGTATCCGGGATCTTCATACACCTTTGGGCAGAGAGTAGCTGCTGGGTGGTTCATGTAAATGAAATATCTTGGCATCCTTCCTAAGGAGAGCTTTTAAAGGACCAGAAAGATCGTGTTTGGTATTTATAGGAGTATAAAGGGGTTGTCAGCAGGAGAGGCTGGGAATGCTGCTTCCCAGGCAAAAGAATACAGGATGGGAAGTGTTTTGATAGGTAGGAATGTTCAGGATAAACCTGATTTTTGCGGTCCTAGAAACAAATCTGCAGCACTGGCTCCATCAGCAGAGAAGTGGGGAGCCTAGCCAAAGAACGCTGAGGTAAGGAGCTTTGAGATCCTGCAAACAGAAACTCTAGAAAGCAGGGAGGGGAAGGAGGCGGGGATGGGAGCCAGCACATTTTGTGGTACATTGACCTTATTTAACATCACGAAACAAACAAACCTCCTCCAAGTTAACTGTTACCCACTGGAGAAGCAGAGGCCAGGACTGGCCTTTCAGAGGAGTGATGGGCAAAGGGAGGGATGGGGAGGTTGTGGGGAGCTGGGAGCACCCTGGGGTGGTACCAGTGAGATGGGGTGGCACCTGCCTGAAAGAGGGGGGGTCTTTAGGGGAAGGGTTTTTATACGTCAGGCAAGGTTCAATTCCAGGCAATGAAGAGGCATCATCACCTGGGTGCAGAGCAAGGGTCAGAGAGGATGTGATGGGTTTTGTTCTGCAGAATCCCAGGCAGAGGTTTTTGGGGAGTGGGAACACTGGGACAAGTTGGGAACCCCCATCCCACGGCACATTGCTTTAGGACACTGTTGTGGAGCCAGTCTGGTCATGAAAAGCAACAGAAACCCCCAAATAATGTTTCATAAAGTGCATATGTATCTGAACCAGGGGAGCAGGGAGAAGGACTGCAAGTGACTGGTGCCACTCATCATGCTGCAGCATCCCAGTCACAGCAGGAGAGGTGATAGGGCTGGAAAAACAAAAGGAACTGTAAGAAAGCTTCCGGGCACTGGATACAGAGGGGAGGGATTTCAGGAAGCCGATAGTTGTGGGTGCATTTGAGGCAGAAAGGGGAAAGTAATAAATAATCAGAGGATATTTAAACTGGTTTAAGCTAATGGGAGCTTTCTGAGAGGTTGTCCGGGAGATTTAGCAGCCCAAAGAACCGAGTCTCATTTTCTTGTCAGGAGTGACATCACTGTCATAAATAAGTGACCAAAAGCCACATATTTTGCTTGTGAGGCTGCCAAGGCAGGAAGCCTCAAATACCTCCTCTCAGAACTGCAGCTTCTGTCGAGTCCAAGCTCTTGATTCTTGTCAGGTCAAATATTGAGAAGGAAAAAAGAACAAAACACATTTGGGGAACAATACTGGGAATAAAAGGCACCTTTCCTGCCAGAAAGGATAAAAAAAATAAGTCCTCCCTGTAAGGAAAACCTCCGGAATGGGGATGGTCTCAGGGCTCCAGAACCATCCTCATGCCCACAACTCTGCCTGTGCCTCCTGCCTGCATCTTTTGGGCAAGCAACGGGATTCACCTCTAGCAAAGGGACTCTGGGAAGGTGCTATAACACATCCTGGTGGTGCTTGCTATGATGCCCCAAGTCTGCATTCTGCTGCCATAAGATGTTTGAGGCTTCAGCTCCAAACCTTTATGATTTAAGAAGATGTGAGAGTTTCCTTCTCTTTGTTTTTTGACTGCAAGGAAAATGCTGTCAATATGTTTGAGCGCATCGTGCAAACCCAGCCTGGTTCACCAGCCTCCACCACATTCATAGAGTTTCTGGAGAGAGGCAGTGATATGGTGGGGAGAAGCATCTGAAAGGCTGCAGCAGAGTCCAGCCCGTAAGAACCTGTGTCTGAACCTGCGTGGGGTCTTCTGCTGAATTACCTTCCAGTATCTGAAGGGGGCTACAAGGATGCTGGAGACAGACTCTTCGTCAGGGACTGGAGCGATAGAACAAGGGGTAATGGGTTCAGACTGAAACAGGGGAAGTTCAGGTTAGACTTTGGGCAGAAGTTCTTCCCTGTGAGGGTGCTGAGGTGCTGGCACAGGGTGCCCAGAGAAGCTGTGGCTGCCCCATCCCTGGCAGTGTTCAAGGCCAGGTTGGACACAGGGGCTTGGAGCAACCTGCTCTAGTGGAAGGGTCAGAACTAGATGAGCTTTAAGGTCCCTTCAACCCAAATCATTCTGGGATATGTCAAAAACCTAGAGTGTGCCAGGGTCGAGCAGCTCAGTCTGGCACTTTGAAACAATCCTTGCTGTTCTTGTTCCCGATTCCTCTCTCGTCACTCAGGCCCATCCAGGAGAGGTCACCTCTGCCATGGAGCATCAGGTCCATGGACTTCAGCATCGCTGCTGTGATCCCTGCATTGTCAGTGTCGTTGGGAATGCTGCAGGCTACCCAGTGCTGGGCTGACCCCATCCCCACAAGGGCTTTGGTTGCATTGGAACCTCCTCTACAACCATGCACATTAATTTTTCTTTTCTGAGGATGGAAATATTTAGCTTATCTAGAAAATATTTAAGCTTTATATAGGGGTTTTGGGCAAAAGCCCCAAGAAGGAGCAGAGTGGGCCACGTGTCCTTGTTTCCCTCTAGCTTTAATCCCTCTGAAGCTGAATGAGATGCTGAAAACACGAGATTCCTCTCCAGGTCGCTATCTCAAAGCCAGCATTTGTCATCAGCTATTAGGAAACAACCCAGGGTCTGGTGGCTGCTGCAGCTGTGGATGGAGAGCCAGGGAATACTGAGGATGAACAGAGGATCAGTCATCGCCGGCTCGTGTGTTGTGACATTCCTGGTTACCCACAAGATCTCTGACAAACAGGCTTGGGGCGTTAGCTACACCAGTACCTTGTGCTGCCATAACTCCAGCTTTCTGGCCCCCAGAAGCTGGGAAGGAGCCTGTTGATGGCCATGTTTCACAGCCCTAAGGAACATGTGGATTATTCACTTGCAGCACATTCATTAGTGATAATACCAGTACCCCAGGAAAGCAATATGTTGTGGAGGGAATGGGGGTTTGGCTTCTCAGGGCCCCATGTACCTCAGGGGGTTGTTTATCAGGCCTTCCCTGGTCAGTAGATGGACAACTTGTAGGTGAGGTTCCACTCAGCCCCACAGCTGGGGCTGTGCAGCCACCCAAATGAAGTACCCTCCATCAAAGCCTGGACTGGAGGGTCCCTTGGGAACCCACCTGGACAATCCCAAACATGCCACATGGAGCCAGCATGATGGTTTTACCATTTGGTGACTCTTTAGAAAAGGATGGAGCCAACCACCTTCACTTGAAAACTGATCCAGTGAAGGAAAACAGATGCATGGTCTACTCAAAGGAAGCTATCATGAATCTGGAGGAGGCCTCAAAGACGCTCCAAGGGCTGGAGCAGCTCTGCTCTGGAGCCAGGCTGAGAGAGCTGGGCTGGGTCAGCCTGGAGAAGAGAAGGCTCCTGAAGGGGAGACCTTAAAGCAGCTTACAGGCTAGGATGGACAGGGCTTGGAGCAACCTGGTCTAGTGAAAGCCGTCCCTTCCTCTCAGGAATTGAATGAGCTTTAAGGTCCCTTCCAACCCAAACCATTCTGTGGTTCTGTCTCAGCGCATCCTCCCTGGATCCTTCTGGAAGCTGCAGTGTCAATGAACTGCCACTGAAGGTGTTTAACAAGCCATGGCCCAGCAACCCATGGCTGGACTCTCCTGCTTTCAGCCTGGAACTCTACCCTGCCTCCACCAAAGCCTTGAGGAAGAGGAGATGGCCTGACCTGAAGTTTAGGGACACCGTGGGGTGAAGCACCCGAGGGTTTACACCAGCACAGGCAGCGCTGCCAGCACAGCAAAAGGACCATTCCCATGGAAGCACATCCCAACCCTGTACCCTCAGCTCAGCCCATGGCCCCAGGTCAGTCCCACACATTGCATAAACTTCCTTTTACTCCAGGTAGCAAATCACCAACATTAGTTTTCATCAAAGTACACCAGCCCACAGCCACTACTCATCCTGGTCCGGAGACCACCATGGAGCAATGGAAGCATTAACCCTTCTTGCTGGCACATGGCTTATGTTTGCTTCAGCAGCACTGCCGCTGCTGGCTACTCCAGGAGCAGGCAGAAACATTCAAGGTAGAAATCCCCGTAGATAGAATCATATAAAGCAAAACCCACGGGCAGAAACGCTCACATGGAGGATTTCTCTCAAGCCCAAGGTGGAGCCGCCGCTTTGCCACATCCCCCCTGCTCCCCTCAGCAATACCGATCACACATCTCCAAGCAGCACTTCTTTAAGGGGCTTCCCCCCTTGGGCTCGGTTGCCCACGTAAGCAGAGCCGGGGCCGTGCCGGCAGCTCCACGCAGGCAGCCCCACGCCCGCTGCCGCCATGCAGGGCGCACACATGTTCCCTATTAAGCAAAGGAAGGCGGCTCGGCTGCGGCTTGCTTTCAAGGATGGAGCAGCAGCACAATTAGAAAGGGGGGAAAAGGGAAAGAAGGAATGAAAGAAACCGCCCTGGTGCGCTTTTGCATCGGTATGTTCGGAGCTGTGGAGCCGCCGGAGCGCTGCCGGTGAGGCGGGAGCCGGTGGCA